GGGGGGTGGGCCAGGCCCCTGCCGGTACCCTGGGGCTGGTGGGGACCAGGGTGGGGAGGCAGGAGCACAGCGCCTGGGTACGGGGCCTGCCTGACTGCATAATGGGAGGCTCACATGCAGTCTGCAAGAGCCACACACAATGAAGCCAGGCAGGCCCAGCCCTGTCTGTCTCTTTCACCCACCATAACCTCACATCCTCCCCAGACCCCAACCACATACCCCACACCCCTCCACACCCACCCACCATACCACACACACACACTCCCTAACCCCCCCTAACATACACTCCCTTACTGCCCTCGCAATGTACAGTAGGACTGTATTTTGAGCTATTATGCAATCACCTCTAGATACACTTTGCAAACACATAAATCAGTAAAAAAAATTTTTAAAATAAAATTAAAATAAGCTATAGTAGATTTGTTCTTTTTTGTATATGATTTGGGTTTTTTTTTCTGGTTTCAAGATTGCAGTACCCTCCCTCTGAAAAGGAGTACATCTGTGGCAAGGGGAGAGACTTCCAGTGGCAAAAGTCAAGGGTTGGGGGGGGGGGGGGGAGGGGAGGGACTTCTGGTGGCAAAGATCAGGGGGGTAGGATTTCCGGTCCCAATATGGTGACTGGGGGTGGGGCAACTGTTAAGGGGCAGGGCTACCCATGTGGCCCTCAACAGCTCACCAAACTTGGTAAGCAGCTCTCCACCCAAAATAATTGCCCACCCTGGGCTATGGGCTCACTCACTTCTGTTCCCAGTTCTATCTTTTCCAATGCCTGGCCTGTTCCTGGGCTCAGTGCTGCTTGTCCCAGATCTGCTATTAAAGCAGCAGCCCTGCTGCCAGGAGCTCTTATCCCAGTGGCTTCTGGGACTAGACTGCTTGACCAGCTCAGGCCCTCGGCTTATATAGCTCAAGCCCTGTCCATTTTTGATCAGTTGACTTCTTAATTTGCCCCTGCCACACCTGCAGGCTGCTTTTGCCTCAGGCTTTCCTCTTAAATTGACAGCACGCCAAGCACCCCTGCTCGCCTTTCACTAGGGATTCAACTGGTGTGGCATTTCCTAGAGAGCACTCTGCAACAGGCAGCCCCAGCACACCATTCATCCCCAGCAGGGTGTAGTTTCAGGTCACGTCCCAGGACCAGGAACCTCCTCCATCCCCATAGTTCCTACCCTTGACCTCCAAATGTTCTGAGAACAGCAGCTCTAGCTGTGTAATGTTGTCTTGCTGGCTCCCTAGATGTAACTGCCAGCTCAGCCCTGAGGGCGTGGGTTTATATTGAGGCTGCTCAGCCCCATCGCTCAATCCAAGAGCCCTTTTGCGGTCATGTGACCACCTCATTAGGCTGCACCACGCCAGTTGGCTGCTCCACAGGCACCACATTTGCCCTGCCACATCTTGTCACCATCAAATACAGGATGATCAGCTAGATCAGGGGTGTAAAACATCTGGCTGGTGGGCCAGATTCAGCTTGTGGACCCCCATTTTTTTGGGTTGTGATGCTGCCCCTGGTTCTGATTAAATCCTTAGGAGGCACAGCACTCATCCATGGTGGAGGGCCAGTCCATAGGCTAGATCAGGCCTATGGACCCCTCCCCCTTCCCCAGCATACCTGTGCAAGACAATCTGGCTTGAGAGGCAGCCATGCTGTATGTGGTGGCTGCCCCAGCCAGACTGTTCCACATGGTGCCCACTATAGCATATCCGCCATACACAAACTTCTCTTTAGCTGGTCCAGAACCCAAACTGCATGCGGTGCTCATAAGCACCATATTCAGCATGGGTCCTGGATAGGCTGGAGCAGCCACTGAGCTGGGATCCCAGACTAGCTGAAGTAGCCATCAGATCGGGTATGCTGTGGGAGCAGGAGGGGATAGGAAAACAGAGGGGTTCATGCACCTGATCCAGCCTGTCAACCGGCTCCATGCCACGCATCCAGCCCACAGGGCCAGATGATTTTGATACTGCTGGACTACATGGACCACTGGTATGACCCACTATGGCACTTCTTATGTAGCAGAAAAGGACTGAGTAAGAACCAACCCCTGGAAGTTAAAGCAGACAAAGTCAAAGGAGGTATAAGTCACCATTTTTAATTAGAGTAATTGTGGGCATGAACTCCCAAGGGAAGTGGTGGTTTCTCCATCTCTTGAAGTCTTTGAATTCAGATTGGTGGTCTCTTTCGAAGATGCTATAGTGAAACAAAAGTTTTTAGACTCAACACACAGAAAATTGGGTAACATTCTCTGTCTTACATTATACAGGAGGTCAGGTCTTAATAGTCCCTTCTGACCTTAAATTCCATGAGTGTGAAGGCAGGGACTGGGCAGAGTCTTGGTTAACTTCACCCCCAAAATTTCTGACAGAATCCTGGCAGATGAATGTTAAGCTACACATGGGCCTTGTGCAGTTCTAGTCCACAAGGGCAGCCAGGAATAGCACAAGTGCAATGCCCTTTGTTCAGAACAGGTCTTACAGGGTTACACTTACAAAAGTGGCCAACAGCTTGTCAACATGTTAGACTTATCCATAGGAAGATTAATGGATGGGCCAGCTGGGCATACCCCAGGAGCCTCTACCAATTCAGGGCCCTGGGGTCCTCATCACTAGGGAAGTGAAAGCTGCAGTTTTAAACTTGGGCTATAGCCCCCCAAAATTCATCTTAGCCCCGCCCCACAGCCACCTCTTCCAGTGCCACCACCTGCCCGCAGAGACACGGCACGGTGCTTCCGGCACAGCCCAGCCCAGCCCAGCCCAGCCCTCTGCATCTGCATGGCTGCACAGGAAGCAGCCAGGCAGCAGCTCCCTGCAGACCAGTGTAATAGGGGCCAGGCAGGGGAGGTCCTGTGAGGGAAAAGTGTGTGTGTGTCTGTTTGTCTGTCTATCTGTGCGTGTGTGCGCATCTGTCTGTTCATGGCAGGGAGAGTGTGTTTGTGTCTGTCTCCATGTGCAGAGAGTGAGTAGAGTGCATGCACCTGTGTCTGTGCGCACCCCTGTGTGTGCATGTGTGTGTGTACGTTCAGCCATAGTGGGCTCGGGGAGCAGAAGAAGAGGTGGGAATGTGCCCCCGCCCAGCCCAGCGGAGTCCACCAGCCTCCCCCGCCAGCACTAGGAGAGGAAGAGGCCCCTCCCCTCCCTTGCAGCCCAGCGCCCTTCTGAGTGGGGGTTTAGGAATAATACCTGGAAACAGCCCCATTCTAATTCTGTCTGCAAGTCAGTGAGATTTAGCATCTTGGTTGTTCTGAAGTCATTTTAAAAAGAAAGCCGCTTCATCTTTGAAAATCACTCAGGTGCTTCTAAAAATGTTACCAGGGACATTCAGTTTAAATAGTCTTCTAAGAATCTTTAACTTTGTATGTTAATAAATGGAAGGTGACAGTCTCCATGTTTGTTAAAATAGAGACTCTCGCTATTTTTGACCTGCCTCCTTATTTTTTTTTCTCAGATTGGAAGATGTGAGAAAAGGAAAAATTCCATTTCTGAAGTCATACTTAGGGAAGTCTCTTAATTTTTCTGGATCTCAGCTTCCCATTGCTAGAGTGGCAATAACAGCACTTCTGTGCATCACACCAGTGCTGCCAGGATAACTTCATGAGTGCTTGGAAAGAGTTTAGAAAATCTCTTAATGGACTGCAAAGTAGGGACATTAAACACTAGCACAGTGGTGCAGGGTTTGGGTTGCACAGCACTCAGAGAAACATATATTTAAAAGTCTTCTTTCCTGCCTTCCTTTCTTGATGGGGAAACTTCTGTTAGCTTGCTCTCTATTCACTGGTTTTTACCTAAACCCAGGGCTCCATTTAATCAATTTTGATTAAAGTGCAAAATCAAAACCTTGATCTTCCCCAATTGGCTTTTCAAGGAGACATTGCTTACTTTTGTCTGGAGCTTCTGCTTACATAATGGCTATTGAATCCATTCAATTTCTGTGTTGGCTTTTCACTAAGTGTGTGGTGCCATTCACACGATCAGTGTAATGCAGGGGTGGGCAAAATGTGGCACACAGGTCGGATATGACCCAACAGGCCAGTCTATCCAGCCCATGTGGCCCCTAAAAAATTTAGAAAATTAATATTTATCTGCCCCTGGCTGCCTGTCATGCAGCCCTCAATGGCTTGCCAAAACTCAGCCTGAAATAATTGCCCACCCCTGGTTTAAAGGATGAAAGGCTGTATACAAGAAAGATAAAGTGTTACCTGTGAAGTGGGTGTTGTTCACCAGAAATATCCAAGAGCCAGTTTGCATTAACTTCTTTATTGGGTAAATTTCTTTGGAAATATGTTTCTTCCAATTGCTCTTTTCAGAGCCATTTTGACTTCCTTGTTCCTCAGGCTGTAAATCATAGGGCTGAGCAGGGGGGTGAGGATGGTGTACATCACTGAGATCATAGTGTCTTGATCTGATGAGTAGCCGGACTTGGGTCTCATGTAGATGAAGGATGCACAACCACAGTGCACAACTACCACGGTGACGTGGGCCACACAGGTGGAGAAAGCTTTGTGCCGCCCTGTGATCCATGGGATGCGCAGGATGGCGATAAGGATTTGGATGTATTAAACCAGGATCAGCAGCAGTGGGAGCATGAGGACAAAGAGGCTCAGCAAGAAGACAATTATGTAATTGAGGCGTGCACGGGTAAAAGCCAGCTTCAGGACTGGGGAGATGTCACAAAAGAAATGGTTGAGACTGCTGGGTAAGTGAAAGGGGAGGCGAAATACAAGGGTGGTGACCACTTGAGCAACCAGGAAGCCACTGAAGCAGCAAGCTGTTACCAGCTGAGCACATGCTTTTTTGCTCATGATAATTGCGTAGTGCAGAGGGTTGCATATGGCCACATAGCGGTCGTAACCCATGGCTGCCAGGAGGAATGAATGAGAGCACCCCAGGAAAAGAAAGAAATACATCTGCACAGCACAACCAAGGAAGGAAATGGTTTTGTTTTCTGCTAGCAAGTCTACCAGCATTTTGGGGATGATGACTAAGGTGTAGCAGGTCTCAAAGAAGGACAAAACACAGAGGAAAAAGTACATGGGGGTCAATTCTTATTATGGTCATTATAGTGGCATTTGTGGTCAGGGTGACCAGATGCAGCAACAAAAACACCACAAAAAGCAGTTTCCGCAGCTCTGCAAGATTGGAGAATCCCTCAAAGATGAAATATGCCACCACAGTATGGCTATCATTTTTCATAGGAATGAAATGCTTTCCCTGAATGAAGAGCAAGAACAGCATCAGAACCATCCAAGTACTGGGGAATATCCTTATGAGGACAGAACATTTGCTGACATATTATGGGTAAAAACATGTTTCTGTAACCTCCATGCCTCCAGTGCTGTTTTCCTCTAATGGACTACCCATGTGAGAGGGGCAGTGCTACTGAATAGAGGGTGAGGACGAGCAGCAGCAGCAGCAGCGGGGTAGGTGGGCAGTGTTTAGTCTTACATTTATTGAGCAAAGCTGGTGATGTGACACCCCAGCAGTGGCAGAAACATAAGACATCTCCTTCACACTCTTAGCCCAGCTATTCCCCAGATACCCACAGTAGGAGCATCATCAGGGACCTCAGTATTGTGCCCAAGGCTGCAAGATTACTACCCAACCTGACATACAATTATTTGCACATTAGTCACTGTTCTCTCCTCTCCCAGTCCAGGCTGCATGCCTTTGCACCATAGAAATCACTCATATCTGATCAAGTATGGCAGAGACGAAATCACAGACGCAAAAAGGAAGGCAGGAAGGAAAGTACCACAGGCTACTTCCATGTGTACTATATTGCAGCCCACATCCATTTCCTTCAGGAGCTGGCAGTAGGGCTGTGCAAGGCTTTGGACAGTGCTTCAGATCCAGAGAAGTTTCAGATGCTTCAGTGTCCAAAGCAGCATGTCTGGATTGAAGTGCTGGCTTTATTAGGCTTTCCGAAGTGGTTTGGAGCTTCTGAACCACTTTGGAAAAGCTTTGGAGCCGCCTCAGAGATCTGGCCATAGGGTATAAAGGGGAATCAATGAAATATCTATAACTTTGTTGTTTTTTGTCTGATTTCAATGAAACATGCAGAGATGGTAGCCTCTGCTGAGAAAATGAATCTTACCAAGTTTCAGGAAGATCGCTGCAGGGGTTCTGGGGAAACTACATCCCAAATTCTTGAAACAAAACTCATGTCATGTGTATGTGTTACAACACAGAGGGGTCAAAACTGCAGGAGTGGTGGCCTCTGGTGAGGCCACAAAGCCTGCCAAGTTTCAAGGAGATAGGTGCAGGGGTTTGGGGGGAACTGCACCTCAAGCTGTGGACAAGCAAAACTCATGACATGGCTGACACTGTGTGTGTCAAGGCGCAGCAGGGTGAAAGCTGCAGGGATGGTAGCCCCTGCTGTGGCCATGAAACCTGCCAGCCATCAAGGAGATAGGTTCAGGGGTTCTGGGACCCTGCACTTCTAGCTGCTGACAGACAAAACTCATGCCATGGGTGCTTGTGCAACTGGCTATTTCTATCTTGGGGCAGTTGATTGTCTGTATTGATAATTTCCTCTGCTTTGTCTGTGGTTTTGTAGGTGTTAATCCTTGCTAATTAACTGACAACATTAGCTAGTTACTCTGTATTGAGCTGGTCCCTGAGTGAATCATGATTGATTTGTAACTGGTAACACAGTAGCTTAGCAGACAGGCCTGCAGTAGTGTCTCCCACACCCCAAGACAGACACAGTTGCACAATCACTCATGTCATGAATTTTACCTGTCAGCAGCTAGAGGTGCAGGGCTCCAGAACCCAGAAGCCCCTGCACTGATCTCCTTGACAGCTGGCAGGCTTCGTAGCTGTCTCTAGTGGGTTATGGAATAGAGAAAATCCCACACAATTTACTGATTCGTTTTGATGCACTGGCTGGGGGAGTAGTTAGCTGATTGCACGATTTCACAATGATTACACACTTAATTTATACAACACAAATTTATTTTAAAACTCTTTGCTACGTATATAACACTGCTTAGCTTTAAGAAACACCACAAACATTAAAAACACAATAATTACATATATCAGAAACAATGCTCCGAATGCACTTCCTTCCCAAACAATGCTATAAGAATTAGTGTTACAAAAACAACTACAATTACAACTAAAAGTTAAATTTGAATCAATACTGTTATTTTTCATAATATACTTACAATCCTAGAATTCCGAGAAGCCAAATACCAAAATATGGTTTCATTCCTCAGTAGTACGATTTAATGGGTTGGCCTCAGTAGTACGGTTCAATAGGCTGGCCTCAGCAATACGATTCAATGAGCTGGGCTCACCAGTGATAGGACTACGTCCCCTTCCTTCAGTCCCTTTCGGGCGCTGTGCAGCTTCAGCGTGAACTAAGCGATTCGTGTTCACGGAGAGGTTGGGTCAAGTGATCAATCTGTTCTGGGCTACACTTGCGATTCTCCCTTCCTTGTTCTGCAAGTGAAGTCACCTCCAAATTGGGACAGTAAGTTACAGGTTTTTATTGAGTGAGCTGCCGTCATTGGGCTCCTCCTACTCAATTCATCATAACTCCCAAATTTGGGCTCGGATCTTACTCAACAGAAATTACCTTTGTTGAGCATTTTTAAATTATTCTTGGGGAGACTTCCATATCACTGTAAATACTCTTTTCTTTTTACCAGTCTGGTTAAAAGGCCTTAGGCTTTGATGTCTCGGAATTTAGGACATTTACTTTCTTTGTAAAAAACTTCTAAAGGTACAATTTAGATTAAGGTTTTAGGCGAAGTCAGGACATTTCGCACGTAGCTCCAAAACAATGAGCTAGATAAGGAGATAGATTCTATCTTCTTCCTGAAACTGGCTAATGGGCAATCTTTACAAACATTCAAACTATTTCATTCAATATGACAGTAGCCTCAGCAGGGGCAACCATCCCTGCAGCTTTCACCCTGCTGCGCCTTAACACACACAGCTTCAGCCATGTCATGAGTTCTGCTTGTCCGCAGCTTGAGGTGCAGTTCCCCCCAAACCCCTGCATCTATCTCCTTGACGCTTGGCAGGCTTTGTGGCCTGATTAGGGGCCACCACCCCTGAAGTTTTCACCCCCCTGTGGTGTAACACATACACTTGACATGAGTTTTCTTTCAAGAATTTGGGATGCAGTTGCCCCAGAACCCCTGCACCAATCTTCCTGAAACTTGGCAGGATTCATGCTCTCAGCAGAGGCTACTGATCCTGCAAGTCATCAAAATCAGACAAAAAAACAACAAAGTTATAGATAATTCATTGATTTCCCATTATACCCTATGGCCGGATCTCCAAGGCAGCTCCAAAGCTTTGGAGCTGCTTTGGCTGGATTGACGCGGGAACCCGGTCCAGAGCTCTGGATCAGATTGCTGGCATCCAAAGTGGCCAGATCTGAAGCTGGATCAAATAGCTACCTACTCGCACAGGCCTAGCTGGCAGCTCATGAACTAACACAGCTAGATTCTAGGGCTTCCCTCTTCGGTGCAGTTTTTACCTGTATCTGGACTGCCGAGCCTGGTCCACTCCTTTGCACTGAGGAAGAAATGATAAGTGACATAACTGTAACCCTCTCTACACTGTAGCCTATGACAGTACCCATATCCCATAGCTCGGGTTTGACTGAAATTCTGCACAAGATGAAGATTTTGCCCATGGGTCAGGTTAGACTTCACCAAGATGACTGTAAGGGTATATACTCATCTAGAACATACTCTTCTGGGCTAAACATTGTTCTCCTGGGATAACTGTGCCCAGATCAGCAATGGTTCTGCTTCCATGGTCCACTTCCAAGCTAGTGTAATGGCAGTGGTACAAAATATAGGGACTGTCAGGGGATGGAGTCACTTAATAAATGTGACAGTACAGCAGGCAACCAGGACAGCTGATTTGAAAGTCAGGGGATGCTGCTTTATCGCAGAATCCAACTAGTCATCTGGGCAAATGAGATGGTTCTGGAAGCCTAGCACAGGAGAGAAGGGAAATCTGTGGAGCAGAGGCAAGAGAAATAAAAAAGAAACTGTACCTTGTTTCACTGAGAAGAAAATGCAGATACTTCAGAGCTGGCTTTTGGCATTCACAGGGCATTAGCAGCAGGGAGTTACCCCTTTCTTATTATTACATCTCTATAAAAATTAGGAGAGTCTCAGTTATTATTGTCAAGTATAGGAAATTGCAATGGGCATCATTAGGAAAAGTGACAATTGCCAATTCCCATGCCCTAGGACTGGTTGCAATGGGCATAATTAAAAGTTTAGTTCTTATAACTGTACTAAACAAAAGAACAGCAAAGATTTGTGAAGTAGATGTAAAGACAAGGCAGAAGTTTTCATGAACAGCACTTGGGCACCAGTGAGATTGACTTTATTGATGTTTGAAGATTTAAGATGTGCACAGGATTCCAGGTCTCCCTCCATGGGAATGTGTCACTAGGAGACTGGGGGACATTTTCTTGGCTGTTACGGTACAACCCTGACAAATTTTGCAGGGGAGGTAAATTCTGGGTCAGGCAGTTTCCTGGAATCTTAAAACGTATAAGGTTACTTATAAGTATATAACCTAAATAGTTCCTAAATGATGTCCTTCCTCGTAAACTCTGTGGGCAGGGAGTGAGTGGCTCTTTGTTATATAAATGTGCATGGCCAGAGCCTGCTCTCTGGCTGTCACTATGGTGCATTTCCTCCAAATCCTCATCCTTATCCAAGTGGAGCCAGATGCTGCACTCAGCATAAGGGCATTTCTCTATCTGTCTCCATGTTAGATAAATGCTTTCTGTTGAACTCTGCATCTGATCATAGAATCATAGAAAATTAGGGTTGGAAGGGACCTCAGGAGGTCATCTAGTTCAACCCCCTGCTCAAAGCAGGACCAGCCCCAAATAGATCTTCCCAGCCAAAGCTTTGTCCAGCTGGATCTTAAAAACCGCCAAGGATGGAGATTCCACCACCTCTCTGGGTAACTTGTTCCAGTGTTTTACTACCCTCCTACTGAGAAAATTCTTCCTAATATCTAACCTAAATTTGAGTCCTTGGTCTGTCATCTTCCACCACTGAGAGCAGTCTAGCTCCATCCTCTTTCAAACACCTCTTCAGGTAGTTGAAGGCTGCTATTAAATCCCCTCTCAGTCTTATTTTTACTTGACTAAATAAGCCCAGTTCCCTTAGCTTTTCCTCATAAATCATGTGCCCCAGCCCTCTCACCATTTTTGTTGCCCTCTGCTGGACTCTCTCCAATTTTTCCACATCCTTTCTGTAGTGGGGGGCCCAAAACTGAACGCAGTACTCCAGTGCCAAATAGAGGGGAATAAGCACTTCCCTGGACCTACTGGCAACACACCTACCAATGCAGCCCAGTATGCTGTTAGCCTTCTTGGCAACAGTGGCACACTGCTGGCTCATATTCAGCTTATTGTCCATTGTAACCCCCAGGTCCTTTTCTGAAGAGCTGCTGCACAGCCAGTCAGCCCCCAGCCTGCACTGGTGCATGGGATTGTTCTGTCCTAAGTGTAGGACTCTGCACTTGTCCTTGTTTCATAGATTCATAGATTGTAGAGTCAGAAGGGACCACAATGGATCATCGTGTCTGACCCCCTGCCCCTGGCAGGAAAGAGGACCGAGGTCAGATGACCCCAGCCAGGTGACTATCTAGCCTCCTCTTGAAGACCTCCAAGCTAGGTGATAGCACCACCTCTCTTGGAAGCCCATTCCAGATCCTGGCCACACTTACTGTGAAAAATTTCTTCCTAATATCTAACCTAAATCCACTCTCAACTACTTTACACCCGTTATTCCTAGTTACTCCCTGGGGCGCCTTAGTAAACAGCGCGTCCCCTATTCCCCGTTGACCACCCCTAATAAATTTATAGGTGGCCACATGATCTCTCCTCAGCCGTTTCTTGTGAAGGCTGAAGAGATTCAGCTCTCTCAACCTCGCCCCGTAGGGTCTATCACGAAGGCCACTAATCATGCGAGTGGCCTTCCTCTGGACCCTCTCCAGATTCCCTGCATCCCTCTTGAAGTGTGGCGCCCAAAGCTGGACACAGTACTCCAACTGCGGCCTGAGCAGTGCCGCATAGAGGGGGAGCATCACCTCCTTTGTTCTATTAGTCATGCACCTGCTAATGCACGACAAGGTGCAATTGGCCTTGTTGATGGCCTCGTTACACTGCCGGCTCATGTTCATCTTGGAGTCAATTATGACTCCAAGATCCCTCTCTGCCTCCGAGCTGCTGAGAAGGACACTCCCTAACCTATAGGTGTGCTGGGGGTTCCTCCTTCCCAGGTGGAGTACCTTACATTTATCTTTTATTAAATTGCATCCTATTTCTCTCTGCCCATTGATCCAACCTGTCCAGGTCAGCCTGAATCTGCTCCCTGCCCTCCGGTGTACTAACTTTGCCCCATAACTTGGTATCATCAGTGAACTTGGAGAGGGTGCTCTCCACGCCCT